AAACCAATTTGAGCAAAAGATCTTCTTTTAAAGTTTTTGAGTTTGGAGTAATTGAATCAGCTACATGTATTCTGAGCAATAGAATCATTATTGTTGGCTACAATATTTTTATTCGGGGAAGAAAAAGTGGGGGGGGGGACCAAACAATGCCCCCCGCCTCAAAATGTGTGTGTGTGGGGGGGGGGGGGGTGGGCGGGGGGGGGGTGGGGGGGTTCCCCCTGTCCCCCGTCGATTTACGCACATGATAATTATGTACCGTGGCAACTGTCTGTAAATGTCGCCGTTGGTCTGTTAAATTGGCTTTTTGTGAGGCAGTCGCATTTGGAAAACGTAGTGAAAAGGTTACTGTAGTACACAGGCGAAGGCTGGTTTAAATCATAATGCAATAAAACGTGAACGTGTCATTTGAAATGAAAATGTTGAGTGTTACCATAAAATTACAAACGGTCTGAATCATGGAGGAAAGTCATAATTAAGTTTCAGTATTGGACTCTTCAACAAACGTAAACTTGAACTTCTTACAATTTGCGAGACCGTCTGCGAGGAAAAAGTCGATTTAACTTTTATTGAAGTTGGTTCAACCATCTATATAAGAGCAAGTTTTACTCTGCCTCCGAGAAATGTTTGCTCCTGAAAGGATCCGAGACCGCGGCTTCACGTCCGTGGAAAAATGTGGGTGTCTCGCGCCGTGTCGGACACTTTTTCGTCGATTTTTTTTGTGACTGCGTTTAAGATCGCGATATTTGAAGCAATGCATCGATCCTTCGTTGGCCCCAAGCAGGCCCCCGAAATTATAACGCAACACTGAATTATACGTGGCGGGCAGCGAACTCACAACGCTCAGCCTTGGTGGTGGAAGCATGGAGCTGTAAACACATTATGGAAGCAACAGCACTCTATCACGCGACGCCACATGCTTGCGCTTCATATAGCGAGCACCGTAGACCCAACCTCGTTTCCAGGGTGTGGAGCAGGCTGCAGTACGCGTTGCCATCGACAGTTTTGCATAGCCCGGAAAAACTACGCAGTGTAGACTTTCGATTGGTCAGACCGCGCAAGGCATACTAATGTTAGTCCTTCTGAGTATTCGTTGCACTCGGCGCAGGGGCGGCAAGCAAAGCACATGAAAGAATAGGGACACTTGGAGGCCACGCACCATGGAGAATTTTTTTTTTTTTGCAGAACAGCCGAGTAGCACACGTAAACGCAACCCCTAATTCGAAGCCGCTGACCTCGCACTGTCTAGACACGCAGAAAAGCCAGCACAGGGGGCGGCCAGGCAGTCAAAGTGAAAGCGCACACGACGGCAAATTCCTGCGCAAAACGCAGTCACGACAAATCGACGAAACGGATCGCCGGTCCGTACGGGAAAATCAGGACGACCCGAAGCGTCCGACCCGGCGGAAGACACCCTCCGCATTTTTCCACGGACGTGGAGCGATTTTGGCGCCGCGGGAGCCCGCGGTCTCGGATCCTTTCATGAGCAAACATCGTCTCGGAGGCCGAGTTAAACTCTCTCTTATATAAATAGATATATCACAGAATATTGTACAATACACCGTAACCAAGCTGCCTCTGTCCGTATTTTGTGCACGGGCGGACAATATTACCATTACCAGTATATTTTTTTGGGTGTCAGGGAATGGGGTTCGCATTATTTTTAACGAATCTCGATGCAAAATAAAATTGACAGAGCTGAGGGGGAGGGGGTGACCCCCAAAACCCTCCTGGATCCGCGCCTGATAACTACACTTCCACTCGAGTAAACGTCCAGTGGAAAGGCACTCTTTGTCACTCTTCTTGTTCTTATAGCAGGTCAACCAACAATGCCCCCGGCTGATTGCAGGTTTCACTATGAGCCATGTTAACAGACTGTAACTCTCACTGAGCATGCACCCCGCGAGTAAAAAAAATAATGACTTTTCAAATTAGTTGTCAGAGTATTAATAAAATACACCAACATTTTTAACAACTTCAACCACAATGAAAATAAGGACAATTCACCAACATTTTGTCGATGGGCCCAAGCGTTTCACAGGCTATTCCGGAGGTAATATTTCCTCTAACTGCAGTTTTTGTTTGCAAAAGAAAATCAACGACAACGACATTTGGCATACTCTGGATAAAGAAATGTAAGCAATAAATAAATAAATCGATAAATAAACGAAAATTCGTAACAGCTATTAATGCTTTAACGAATCTACTCAAATCTCAATATAACCAAATCGAATAATTGTCGGACATTTCACGATGACGCTCTAAAATATAAGCAAAAACATTCCTCTGTTTATACCTACTAAAACGCTAGCAAGCCTGTAAAATTCTTCTCCCAACAAGTCGCCTTTACAAAATGAGCCAAAATGCCTGTTGTTTAGTTGTTATTGTCAAATGTAGGTATGCATTTAGACAAAATGGACATTTTCTGGTAGTATTCTATACGTTCAGTTTCGCAACGGCCTACTTTTTAGCCTTGAAATGGGCATATGAATGGTCATATAGCACTTAGGTCCAGTACACTTGAAATAAACCAGTGTCATCATTTTATAGTACACTGCAATGGTAATGCAAAAAATGAAACTGTACAAAACCGAGAGCAGATGAGATTTGAAGGTTTGCATGGTGAAGGGTAATAATAAGGTAAGTTGTTGCGGTAGCACCATGTGGTCAAATCTCCTTTGAGAGAATCTGTGGTTCTCCGGTTCTTTTCAGAACCACACATACTCACAAAAGAGATTTTGCCACACGGTGCTGCCGCAAAAACTGAACCGAGAACACCTGGGTAGGTTTTCAGATAGTTGTCTGTAACTCTCAAAATCGCGAGAGGGCGCAATATCAAAGTGGGTAAAATAGAAACAGCAGCGTCATTTGCAAATAACAAGCCGGGCGGTGCTCTGTGAATTAAAAGATCCTACAAGGGGAGTTTTAATACCATTGTATCAGTGCGGTCAATGTGTAGAGGGGTACAATGTCATGGGCCTGTGCAATAATTATTGGGGCCTAATCTACGTTATCGATTGTGTCAACAAGCGTTGAAGTCAAGTGGTTCGGTTGTCAAAGATGTGATACAATAATTATTGTAGTGATCTGCCTTGGAGACTTTGTCCACACGCGGCGTTACACACCCACAGGACTTGGACTTTGAACACCCAAATCTCGCAACAGTTGCATTCATTTATACTCAGGAAGATTTTTTTTTTAAAGCCGAGGCTAGGTAACAGAAACCCACAAATTTGATTTAATACATCTAGAGTAAAACAATAGTAAAACTAAAATACAGAAGCTTATAATTATTGTCAAATTGAGTGACATTGCTAGTTGTTTTGTGCCAGGAATGGGCGTCGCCAGGATTTTTTTTCTAGAGGGGGACAAAACAAAGTTTTCCTAACAAATTCCTGTATTTTCAATATATAAGTTTAATATAAGTCGATATATAAGTTTCAGAGGGGGCGGGGACATTTTGCCCCCCAACCAAACCCATTAAATTTACACCACTATGACTTCGACCTCTTTTTCCATTCTTTCTTTTTCTCTTGTTTTTTCCTTTTTTATTTTGCTTTTCCAGGGGGCAAGTGCACCCCTAGCCCCCCCCCCCCCGTCGCGACGCCCATGGTGCCAGGCGTTGAGAGGTAGCAAAGGTAACAAAACTGCTAGACACGAGTACACCGCATGATCGCTGTGACTTTGAACCTCTCGACATGCATTGTGCTACAAAAATAGCTGTTGGTTTCCCGACATTGAAAACTTGAAGTGGGATATTACACAGTGAATACGAATCCATTACAATCATTATCTGGATGTCTGCATTCCCTCACAGCGATTGTTCTCTTCTTCAAATGTTACCCTTTGCAAGACATTGAAAGTTCATACAAGGTAGGTGCCATAGTATATATATATACCAGTGCAATATGTGGGTAAACATTTCAACCATTTTATATGTTCATAAAGTAATGCGATTGCTTACGTGCCTGGTGATGAAGTCGTGGAAATGCATGTTACAATAAATTTTGGTTTAATCTATAGTCATGAAATTTCTTGGGTATGTTTATGAAGAGTTGCTCTATGTATGTACCGAGTTTCAAAATTTTCTGTCACTCGATGGCCGAGATCTTACGGGGACGGAATCCCCCCCCCCCCAGCGGAGAGATGGTCAAAATAACCCGGCCCTTTTAGGGTTAAAGACAAATTAAACCGTGGTTAAAACAACAAGCTCAAACTTAGGGGCAGTGACTGAACAAACTTAGGTATTGACAAAACAAACCTGTATGTATATATATATATAAATGCATTGGCTCGCAACAGGGTGGTCTTAATGATGAACTTAAAAGAAATTATTTTAATTTTTTATTCTCACAAATATCATTTCGCAAATATAACTTTTTTCCCATTTATTACAATTTTGCAAATCTAATTATTACAATCTTTATAAAGCTAGTTTAACAATCGTAAATGATATACACAACATTAATTTTGATGTACTATATAAATGTATGTAGGAACCCTAGGTTATAATATATGGTGTTATCATTTTGAATATACTTGTTTGATTACAAAGAGTAAATGGGAAAGATTGATATCGGTGTATGCTAAAACAGCTGGTTTCTATGTACGCTATTATGATGACAGAAGAAATGTGTTACTATGTAACACTAGAAAAAGTAAAAATACCTGTTCTAGAATTAAACTAGACGTGTAAACCTTTTATTGGACTATAATGATCAGCACGCGGGACTTATGAAGCACCTTATCGCACCACACCCCTGGACTTCAATAGCCACCATTACCCCGTTGAGACAAAAAAACCTGCGCAGTTTGTATATTACCCCTTCGCTACCTTAACATTCAAATAACGAGTGCGCAACTTAGTAAAAGGTTTGTGACAAATTGCAAGTTGATTTCTTAGATTTTCAATCATTTTTTTCAACCAATATGCATCAGAATTGTTACGATACGTTGTCCCACTATGGCACTGGGGAATGTCTTTTCTCTCTTTTTTTTCGTAGATGGCGGAAGCTGCAGCCACATCCGTGCTGGGTACGATCAGTCGGGGACACCTCGAATGCCCGATTTGTTGCTGTCGTTTCACCGATCCCAAGATACTGGACTGCCTGCATAGCCTCTGCCTGAACTGTCTGGAAGAGCTCATCAGCAGACAGCAACCCAGGGCAGAAGAGATTCCTTGCCCAGTTTGCAGGCGGGTAACTGCGGTACCAGACACCGGATTGCAGGGTCTACCCAACTGCTTTTTCCTGAGTGCCCTCGTCGATGAATTCAACAAGCAGGAGCGGTTGCTAGGAGATGCGCCAGCGGATACTCGTAAATGTGAGGAATGTGACGAGGGCTTAGAAGCCGTCTCAAGGTGCTTGGACTGCTGCAAATTTATCTGCACAAAATGCCTCGAATCCCACGAACGCATGAAATCCATGAGACACCATCGGATCATTGGACAAGAACAAAACAGATTCGATGTAACCCCGATCAACACTCGGAAGAAAGCTACTCCGCAATGTAACCAGCACACTAACCAGAATCTATGTTTTTACTGCGAGACATGCAAGACATTGGCGTGTGGGAAATGTGCTGCGTTAGATCATCGGGCAACGGAGCATGAATACAGAGAAGTCGAAGATGCCATACGATCGTACCGTCAGGATGTCGGTGAGATCCTACAAAGGTTCGAACAGAGCAAAGAGGAATTCAAAGTTGCCGACGACTCACTGACGAATGCCAGAAACCGGTTGAGCATCATTGTTACTCGGGCTTGCACAAACATTACCACCAAAGAGGAAGAAGAGATTGCCAAGATCAGAGACAAATCTCGGTTTCTCAGAGACAAAGTATCTCAAATCGTAGCAGAACGAGATAGACAATTCGAGAGAGCCCAGCAAAGCAACCGTGACAAAATGGAGTGGGCCGAGCAAATCGTAGCGACAGTCAACGACTTGATGCAGCAAGCTGACGGCTTCGAGCTTTTGGACCTCAAACCAAAGGTGATGCACAATTTAGAGTTCCAGAAGGAACTCGAATTTGAGCAGGCACAGCATAGGCTCTCATTCATCGGGGTGAATTGTCCCGACGTCGTCACAGATACAGACCTGGGTGAAGTACTTCAGGAAGAAAGATGGGAGTTGAGGGAAGAGATTTCTGATGTGGTGCTGGCAGAATTTGAGTGTGCTACAGGCGTCGTATGTCTAAGCAATGGTGACATTGCCGTAATTGACAGTGATAAGAAGCAGTTGATGAATTTTACTTCCACTGGGAAGTATAAAACAACTGGTGGGGAGAAGTTGAATGAATTATGGGGAGTAGCTGCGACTTCCGAGGACCTACTTCTGGTCACTGATGAGGGGTTTGTTAAGGTGTTTGATTCCAATCTACAGTTCATTCGACAGTTTGAACCTTCACAGAATGAGGACGACGTTGATACAGACAGTCGTCTTACCGATATCGCTGTGGACAAGAACAATCGGATAGCAGTGGCAATCGGTGGGAGAAAGCTGATATCTCTCCACCATCAGGATGGGTCCTTCATCACGGCAATTCCAAATGGTATGGTTGGTAACGATTCGGCAATCGCGATCAGGGAACGCATTATCTTCACAAACTACGAGGAGAGCAGGTTACTTTGCACTACATATACAGGAGATGAGGTGTTCAATATCAATACTTCACTTGACGGGGAACCGGTACGGCCCTGTGGTGTGTGCTGCAATGATGCTGGGGACATCTATGTTTCCGTTAATCTCAAGGAAGGTGAAGACGGTGAAGTGCACCATTATTCAGCTGGCGGAGTGTTCATTGGGCGGGTGGCTCGCGGACTTTACTGCCCCCTTGGCCTGACATTCACGCCAAGCAGAGACCTCGTGGTGGCTGACAAGTTCTCCGTCAAGATTTTCAAGCGGGTGTAAACGGGAAACTCTCCTGATTTATCAACCATATTTCAAACGTAAACACGATAAGCTGACATTTGATTAACCCATTTAGGCAAGTGCCGTTATTGTGGACAATTTGTAACGACTGTGTCTCAACGTTCGAATCGTCGAATAAACCAACTATTTGTTTTTCTCAGAACCACACAACTCACTAAAACTAAGAAATGTCATTTACATGGTGTTACCGCAAACCTCCCATCCAATTGACCGTGCCTCATTTTTTCCCCTTTTCCTCTTGACGTGAGAAATATGAGTTTGAGATGCACAATTCGATTTCTGTTGCGTTTGGTCGCGGACTCCGTAAATACCAGTTGAAGAGGTGCAGACTATTATATCCTGAACATCCCTGATAAAAAAAACTGTTGATGTGAGTTTTTGTCTGTTTCCTTTTATACTTTAGTTGATTATGTGCATGCTTGCGAAAACAACATTCACGTTAGGCGTTGAGGTCAAGAGGATCTATATACCATTGACTCTTATCGACTACAAAAAGGCCTTAGATACAATACATCGTAATTTGATATCCTAAAGATAATCGGGTCCCACCCTGACTAATTAGATCAAATAGAACATAACTACACTGCTACCCGGGCAAAAGCTGAGCGAAAAGACACTCCTGGTTACTCTTGTCCTCGATGATGCCCGTCTATTTATTGCAGGGTTTACTAACACCCCAGGTGATTGCAGGTTTCACTATGAGCCATGCTAACAGAGCACCCCACTCTCTGAGCACTGCACGAGGAAAAACATAATAGTGATTTTTTTCGAATTGGTTTACAAAGTATTCATAAATTAACCCAAAGAAATTTTAAAAGGTTCAGCCACGATCAAAGTAAGGAGAATGACCAACATTTTGTCGATGGGCCCAAGCGTTCCGTGGGCTATTCTGGAGATGACTTTTCCTCCTCCTGCTGTTTGGTTTGCAACAAACAACGACAATCCGTAACAGCTGTTAACGGTTAAACAGATTGACTCAAATTACAATATAAAGAAATCGAATAATTGGCGATAATTTCATGATGACGCTCATTAATGAAAGCATTTCTCTGTTTACCTGTTAAAACGCAAGCCAGACTGTAAGATTCTTCTCCCTCGACCTGCCCCGCTTTCTCTGAACACATGACTCTGAGCAAGGACTCCAATTGGACCAGTCGGACCATTTTCCTGCGTAAATGTAACAGTGAAGTTTCGGTCATTTTGGTGATTAAATTCATTACAATATTTTTTGGCATCTGCCTTTGTTTATATTTTTTTGTCTGGGGAGTGGAATGTGGCTCGGGTTTTGTTGTCTTGGTTTTCGTCGTGACATTTTATCCAAAAGAACTGGCTAAATGTTCTGAAGTCCATTTTTTTTCTTCCGATTTCAAATATTGTTTTCTTTACATGTATATACACTGATGAGCTTACATCTTAATCAAACTGTCACCTCAATGAAATGACATGTGAAATAATTGTGACGTCACAAATGGCGTCATGTGATATGAATTCAAAGATTTAGCTCATTGGTATCGGCGATGATAGTACTAAAGTACACACTGTCAGAACACCTAGCTAAATTTGACTAGAACACAGCAAAAATTTCAGCCATCTGAATACAGTGCAAATTTGATCGTTTTCGTATCAAAATTAACTTGAGTGTTTTCAGAGTGTATAGACTTTGAAAATGATGTATCTATAGTGTCATCTAATATGTGATTTTACGTTTCATTTAAGTATTGATAATGCATAAAATCCTTAGTGTTGTAAGATAATTACTTTACTGTTCAACTGTATATTGAAACAGCCTTGGTGTTGTCACCAAAAAATGTTCAAATGTTTTTTTAAGTGTGGTTTTATCGTATTAGCTTTCTATAAAGTATAATTTTAAAGGTGTGATTGGTAGACAATTGGAATTTGCATCGAAAAATACTGTACAAATATCGTTTGCAAATATCGTTTTCTGCAGACTTTAATGTTTCCACAAATCAGTAAAATCTGATTTTGTCTCTTTTAGTTAAGATAATAACGAAGAACGCTGATTTTGATTGGAAGTATTGTGTAATTGTCTTAACGTAATTAACATTCAAATTAATTGTACAGCAGTTTTGTATACTGGATTATCACTTTGAAAAAAAAATAGTGTCTTGTTTTCTTCTTTAAAGCTGAATATGTTCTCACGTAGAGCAGCATTATAAACGGATGATGCATGATCTATCGTGCTGAAGCCTTCCCCCTGGTTATTTGAACCTGGATAATTACTCATACTGAATACTGTAATAAAAAGAAAGATTTAACATAATAACCAATGACGTTTTCGCAGTAATCTCCTGTCCAGTCGCTACTGCTACACACTCGTACAGCCTCGTCACCCTTAGTAGGAGTCATGTTGTCACTCGTTGTCATACTACGGGCAAAATGTAGACTGTTTGATCTGATATAAGGATAATTAAATTATTATTATTAAACACTTATTTTTTCAAAAGAGGTGTGGAAGTATCTTTAAAGATACTGCTCTCTTATTTCCAAAGAGTGAAAATTCACTCCCATCGATTGAAAGTAGGGATCAGACGCTTACGAGTGGAATTCATTTAATCCAATATATTGAGTTTTCACTCGAGTTTCCACTGGATTTACTCCCTTTTTTTCATAGTCTTTTAATCTAAAATGAGATGATTGTCAATCTAATCGTTTGGTCTCTATAGTCTCACTCTTTGGAATTTAGAAAGTAGTATAATATGTGTTTCCAGAGTAATTGAGAGGTTTTTTTAGAGTAATTAAATACAAATATGGACTCATGGAACCTTGCAACCACATTGCATTTTTTTTATTCCGAAAGCGTTACTGAAATTTAATGTGGTGCTTTGAAAATCGAGCCAAGGCCTAAAAAGCTATACAGTGTTTTCTGAGTACCTTGGCTTTTAATTGCTTCGGAATATGAGTAAATGGACAATGGGTAATTTTTTTGGTTCAAATTTCCAAAACAATCGCAAGGATCCCTTTTTCAATTTTTTTTTTTTTGTGTACACTTTTGCAAATCGTGCCATTATTCCAACTTAATATTCAAAATAATCAAGCTTGATTCTCAATGAACCATCTCTTTACTTCAGCGAAAAGGAACTGGATTGCAAACAAGCGAAAAGGGTAGGCGAGACATTAAAAGGTAAGTGTTCTGTCAGCAAAACCAAAATAATTCACATACATCCGTATGTGAATTATTTTTGTTTTGCTGACAGAACACTTGCATTTTTTATGATCCGTGGACAGAACTTTCAAACGGTGCTTGTGTTTATAATTCTGTAACTTGAAAAGAACACAAGTAATTTGAACGATTCCTGTACTAAAAGAAAGCTAAATTGTGCTTTTATATCCTAGATTTTGAAAGTGCTACATGCAGAACTTTATTTTAAAAATGTTCCGGCCATTTGGGTTTCCTTTTAAGCTCACCCTATAGATGTGCCGAGTAATAACTTTTTAAAAAAAGAGCTTTTTATTGGTTTTTGTTTTCAAACAAGCTTCATAGCGAAATAATTATGAAACGAAAGGTGGTATTTCAGTGCAACATTTTAATCTCAAGAACGAGGATGGCTTTTTAGGTATTGATCGTGGATCAATCAACGTTATGAGACATGTCATGAAGTCGGGAGGGGAAGAGGTATATTGAGGATTTACATTTAATATATTGCAAAATAATAGTAATTTAAATAGAAAATGACAATAAGAGATTTTTATACAATTTGTGGATATGTTTGTAGCTTAAGGCTTCCGTAGACATTGGTGATGTTTAGATTCAGCAACGTCATAACCATTGAAGTGTCGAGTCGACACTTCAATGGTTATGACGACACTTCGTCACTGTCGACACAATTAGCCGTTTTGAAATATGGCAGACAGGTAGGGGGCGCTGTTTGATTTCGGCTAAAATCTCTTCTTTTTATTTGCTCACACCAAAAGGCGCCCTCCCATTCTGTCCGCCATATCTCAAAGAGTCTATGCAGCCATTATCCACGGGGAGTGCATGAGTTCAGCCGGAAAGGGAACACCGGAAACGAGAAAGCCTTTTGACCTTCAACTTTGGCTGTGCATCGAAATTATTTTTTTCCCGGATGTGAGCAATACCCAGCAATGAGTGCATATAGTCTGAGCTTTATTCGAAGTGTACACCGAATGAGTGTGGATTGTTTGTATTTGAGTACCATTTACGACAGCCTGCTGAATGGTCGAACCAATGGAAATTCTTTAGCAATAACACAAAACGGAAACTAAAATACAGCAAAACTTACAGGATCCATGTGAACTGTGGTTAGCAAACAAGGTACTGTTTTTGTATAGGCGATGCTGTGAATGTAAAATGGCGTTTCCGGGTACATAAATTTAGCGGTGTTCAGTCACAGTGAACAGCATTTCTAGATTATCGGTGAGAGATATTCTGGAATTTGGTCACCGTGCAGTCCTATAAATGGCAGTGGAATTGAATCATTTCGTCTGAAGGGTTCATTGCAGGCTTACACAGTTCTGCTCTATAGATTATGCCCATAATGTGACGTCATGCCGACAGGCCACCGCAGGGCAATCCAAATATTTAAGCATTTGTTTGCATATCGATTTGCCCAAATTAAACATTTTATATGCAAACTTTTGATTCATTCATATTTCAAGAGATATACATTTAGTGCAGAAGAGAACCGTTTGGCATTGATGTAACAACCACATTATGTGACCTGCCATAGCATAATGAGGAATAACCCCCACCTTTGACTTTTCGCGTTATGTACATCATGTTAAAGCGCTAATCATTGGCTTTCCAAAGATGCCAAATTTATTTCTGTATCTTTAATAGTTTATTTCAAAGATATGCCGTAGGAACTTCAACAGTGTCCTGCCAAATTTCGCTTATCTTATTTCGAGAAAAGCAGCTTTAAAAAAAGACACGCATTGCACCACAAACGACTGTGAAAAACTTTCTTCAGTTTTTCCACTTTGGTGGGTATTATTTTCCAACAGAAATACATGGCGCTAATCTGGGATACCTTGGCTACTCAAAAACCAAAACAATCAATATCTATTTTGACATGATTTTTCTAGTATTTCCGAATTCAGGCGTCCATTACTCAAAACAAGGTTTGGGATAACATTCCTCAGTTTGCCTCAGTAGGTCACATGTTTCATGAAGTTGAATATGTCTTGTGGCTACTTATCTTATGTCTTAGAGGGTTTTCACATATCATTTCAAAACAGTGGAACACGGTGAAGCATGACCAGTAACACGCATCCAAGATATCCTGCGCCTACTTTATGATCAAACTACAATAGGTCATGGCTTGTTCATATTATCACTTTGTTGTTAGCTACCTTTTTTCGGGGGAGGGGCACACTATTCGAGACTCGGAGTCATCGCGAAGGGACACTTTATGGGCCTGGAGGAAATCTAAGACTTTTCCCTTACACATATACATTTTTTTGAACTGTATTACGTCATGAATTTAATGTATTAACTGTTTTTATTTATTATCGACTTTTCCTTTTGTTAATCATGAATCGTATAACTACATGTATTCTTTGTGAAGGGGGCAGACCAAGTACAAGCTTCAGCTTCTTGTCTGACCTCCCCATACTTTTCTTTTCAAGTTCCGTAAAAATGTTTACCTATGTACATAATTCAACTTACCTTATAAGTATTAATATGAATATTGTAAACCTTGAAAACACTGTAAATCCTTATAAGGTGCTTCATAAGGAGTCTCATATTTCTCATCAACTTCATATACCTGACTTTAATAATAGACGCAATTTTAGCGCCTTTGAGTACCTAATTTTTGGTAGATACGTGCGCTTTATCAGACTCCGGGATTATTATCATTATTATAGAAAAATCGTTTAATCGTCCCAATAGCGTGCAATGGTATAACTGACCCCCGTTAGTTGTTTGGTAATGCCATCCAATTTCATACTGCTCGGTAAATGTGTCCCAGAGCTTTAAATAAAAGAGTAACTGAGGGGGCACAATGTACGCTTCCCGGATTTATGCCTTATTCACGTGTCGGCCATACTGGATTGAGAGTGAGGTGAAATCTTCATTTTTGGAACTTGCGCAGAGAAATGAAGCAATGGCGTTACAAATTAATACCAGTCTGCTCTGGTGAATAATTTATTCATTGTGATTTAAAGTACTAAAAAACAAATGAAATTGAGGCTATTGTGAATAAAAAGTCTGGCGCCATCCCATGCAACAATTCACAATTTATGAAATCCATTCGGGGAGCACGACAAAAATGGCCAACTTGTGCGTAAGGCCGGGGTAAGCTCAAAATGAAATTAATCTAAAAACGTTCATTGGGATGCTCACCAAAATATCTCTTTCTGACTCAAAATGATGCTGAATATAATGAAAATGCTTTTGTACAGATTTGGTGAGAAAAGATGGCAGAAGCTGAAGCCAAATCCGTGCTGGGTACGATCAGTCGGGGACACCTCGAATGCCCGATTTGCTGCTGTCGTTTCACCGATCCCAAGATACTGGACTGTCTGCACAGCTTCTGTCTGAACTGCCTGGACGAGCTCAACAGCAGACAGCAACCCAATGCAGACGAGATTACTTGCCCGGTTTGCAGGCAAACAACTGCTGTACCAGACACCGGATTGCAGGGTCTACCCAACTGCTTTTTCCTGAGTTCCCTCGTCGATGAATTCAACAAGCAGGAGCGGTTGCTAGGAGACGCGCCAGCGGATACTCGTACATGTGAGGAATGTGACGAGGGCTTAGAAGCCGTCTCAAGGTGCTTAGACTGCTGCAAATTTATCTGCACAAAATGCCTTGAAGCCCACGAGCGCATGAAATCCATGAGACACCATCGGATTATTGGTAAAGAACAAAACAGATTTGATGTAACCACTATCGATCCTCAGAAGAAAGCTACTCCACAATGCACAAGGCACACAAATCATGAAATCTGTTTTTACTGCGAAACATGCAAGACCTTGGCGTGTGCAAAATGTGTTGCATTGGATCATCGAACAGCGGAGCATAAATATAAAGAAGTCGCCGATACCATTCGATCGTACCGTCAAGATGTCAGCGACATTCTGCAGAAGTTCAACAAGAGTAGAGAGGAATTTAAAGTCACCGACGATTTACTGACGCATGCCAAGGACAGGTTGAGAATCATGGTCGCCCGGGCTTGTAAAGACATTAAAACAAAAGAAGAAGCAGAAATTGCAAAGATCAGATACAAATCCCGTCATCTCAGAGACAAAGTAACACAAACTGGAGAGGAACGAGATAGGAAGTTCGCGGAAGTCCAGAAAAACAACCGTGACAAGATGAAGCGGGCCGAGCAAATCGTAGCGACAGTCAACGACTTGATGCAGCAAGCTGACGACTTCGAGCTTTTGGACCTCAAACCGAAGGTGATGCACAACTTACAGTTCCAGAAGAAACTCAAATTGAGAGAGGCACAGTATGAGCTCTCATTCATCGGGGTCAAATGGCAAGATGTCGTATTAGATACAGACCTCGGTGAAGTACTTCCGGAGGAAAAGTGGCAGTTAAAAAAAGAGATTATTGAGATCGGGCCGGGAGATGAACAATTTGAGTGTGCTTCAGGCGTCGCGTGTCTAAGCAATGGTAACTTTGCCGTAACGGACACTACTAATAAGCAGTTGATGTTGTTTACATCCACTGGGATGTATAAATCAAGTGTTAATCGAAAGAAGTTGTCTGACCCCTGCGGAGTAGCTGCCACCTCTGGTGAGCTACTTCTGGTCACTGATGGAAAATATGTAAAGGTGTTTAACTCCAGGCTAAAATTCATTCGCCAGTTCGCACCATCACATGATGATGCAGACGTTGATTCAAAGAGTGATCTTACTGGTATCGCCGTGGACAAGAAGAATCGGATAGCAGTAGCGGACAGCGGCAGAAAGCTCATATCTCTACACCATCTCGATGGGTCCTTGATTACAACCATTTCAAATGACATGATCGATACAGAGTTGACCATTGGGATTAGGAAACGCTTGATTTACACAAATTACCAGGAGTGCAAGTTGATTTGCATTACCTATACGGGAGATGAGGTGTTCAATGTCAATACTTCACTGGACGGGGAAACTGTACGGCCCTTAGGCGTGTGCTGCGATAATGCCGGTGAAATATATGTTGCCGTCGGTATCAGAGAAGCTGAAAGCAGTGAAAGCGGTGAAGGCGATGACGGTGGTGAAGGCGATGACGGTAGTGAAGGCAGTGACGGCAGTGAAGGTGAAGACGGCAGTGAAGGCGATGACGGTAGTGAAGACAGTGACGGCAGTGAAGGTGATGACGTTAGTGAAGGGGATGACGGCAGTGAAGGGGATGACGGCAGTGAAGGCGATGACGGTTGGGAAGGCGGTGAAGTGTTTGATAGCTGCGAAGTGCACCATTATTCACCTGCGGGAGTCTTCATCGGGCGTGTGGCTCGCGAACTTCGCTTTCCCTGCGGCTTGACATTCACTCAAAGCGGAGACCTCGTGGTGGCTGATGGGGACTCCGTCAAGATCTTCCAGCGGGTGTGAGCCATATAGCACCCCCCCCTTGCGTTTCGATTTTACGGAGGTGATGTATCAGGAGAAGAAAAAAACGTGCCCTTATTTCAGATTTTGTTTGCCGATGAACCCCTCCCCCCCTCCCCGCGAACAATTCTGGATCCACCCCTGAGTCCACACTTATTAATACTATTGAACGGTTCGTGTGATTCCTGTGGGTGCAAAATATCCAACACAGCAATTAATACTATTTTAATAACACTTCTACGGAAGACGGATAGTGCCAGTATATGAGTGTGAATATATTTTTTATATACTTATTATCTGGCGGCCGCCACATAATAAGTGGCGGCCGCCACATAAAAAAGTGTGAATATATATTTGTTTTGTACAGCGGCCGCCGCTTATTATGACGACTTATATGGCGGCCGCAACTTATTATGTGGCGGCCGCCAGATAATAAGTGGTGGCCGCTGTACAAAAAAAAATATTTTTACGCTTTTTTATGTGGCGGCACTTATTATCTGGCGGCCGCCACTTAAAAAAGTGTGAATATATGTTTTTTGTACAGCGGCCGCAACTTATTATGACGACTTATGTGGCGGCCGCCACTTATTATCTGGTGGCCGCCACAAAATAAGTGGCGGCCGCTGTACAAACAAAATATTTTCACACGCACCAAAAAATATATTTACACTCATTTAGTGGCACTATCCGTCTTCCGTGTGTTATTGAAAAGTATTAATTTCTGTGTTAGATATTTTGCGCCCATAGGAATCACAAGAACCGGGGTGAACTTTCAGGCTTTATCTCTGGGTTTAGATTTCGCATCTCTACTGAAAAGTAAACGTGAACCTTTTGGTAGTATTGGGTTTTCTTAGGGGAGCAAGGGTAGAATGTGGCTAAGGTTTGTTGTCTTTTTTATTGCAACATTTGTTTGAAAGAACTGACCAAATCTTCTGACTTTTGTGTTCATGCTTTTTTGTTTTTTGCGATCTCTGTTCTATTTCCCTTGCAATGTAAATACTTTAAAGAGCTTCATCTAATTAAATAGAAATGTCTCAATAGTGAAATTATGCATGTACATTGCCAGTTGACGTCATGTGATATCAATTCAATTTTTTAGTATATTGGCATTGGTAGGCTCTTTAAGATACAGACAAAAAATAATAAAACACCAATTTTGATTTAACAAGAAAACAGTCTTGCTTGCACTCACCCGAACACTTTGCAAAGTCGACTGATTTCTAATCAAATTTAACGAATATCTTCAGAGTGTATAGACTTTGAAAATGTTGTAAACATGTTGTCATCTAAAATGCGATTCTTCGTTTCATGTAAGAAATGAAAATGTGTAGACTGAATCATAATGTTGTAAGATATCAATAATTTACCTTACTCTTGCTTAATTTTATTTTTTGAACAAAACACGCTTGTAGTCATTAAAATTTACAAAAAATCTTGTCTTAGTTAAGTGTGCCGTTATCACAGGCTCAGAACGATTTCAATAGAGTTATAAGTAGGAATTTTGAATATGTTGAATATATTCTGTAGACTTTAATGTTCCCATGCATAAGATAAGTGTAACCCACATAAACAAACTACCAGTGTCACAAAGACTTCTATCTGTTTCGTTTTGATTTAACACTTTAATTCAACACGGATTTCTGAACAACAAATTACTTTTGATTAATCGGATTAAACTACTTAGACCGTATGAATACAGATTTAAGGTATTTAAGAACAACAAGAAAAAAATGTGCGCTCAACTTTAATAAAACATGTACATGTACATAATGCGAACCAGGATCCAGAATTCCTGGATTTTCTGTCTCTGTCCTCGTTCTGTGTTCCACTAACAAGGAACAGACAGTTTCAAAGGATATTTGCACGCGTGCTCTAGTTCCAGTCCAGGTGTACTGCTCCTTGGAGAACGGAATCAACCGTAGACTATCTCCGTACCCGTCGACTGGGGAAGAACTCTCCCTCAACAGGTTAGTCTCTCTGAAGATGGTCCAGATCAGGTGCACTCTGACCAGGGTCTGCACTTCATGCAGCTCGTCACCTGACGGCTGTGATGTGAGTCGGGAACGGAGAGCCGACTGAGTCTCAGCTGAGCAGAACCTGAGAGCTGGGACTTAGTAAAAACTGAGAGCTGAATCTGATGATCCAAACCTGAAAGCCAACAGTTTCAACAGGACCATTTCATCTGTCGAATTGAGCCTTCAAAATAGCGTTTTGGGCCCGTTTTACATGCCGATTGCAGCAGAACGTGAAGAAAACATGGATGCCTCCATGACAGTTGTGATCATGCTTTTTTTTCAGACTGCATCCATCTCTTTTACTTTAATAAATACTATCTCATGATGCTGTAAATTCATGTAAATTGCAAGTATTTGTTCAGTTGTTTACGTTATTAAAATGAATGGTAGATTATTGCATAAGGTACTGAATTTCCGTCTGTTGTCGTGATGAAGTTCACGCATGGAGCCGTGTTATAAACGCATGATGCGTACACGCTCAAAACGCTCGTTAATTTAGGTTGATTGAAAAAGAATTGAAAAAAATTGTAACCCACATAGTGTAAAATTTACAAAATAACCGACATATTTTCAACGAATCTCTATGCCAAAAAAACTTGACAGAGCTGGGATGTTTGACTCCCAAAACCCCCTGGATCCGCGCCTGATAACTACACAACCACTCGAGCAAAAGTCCAGCGAAAAGAAACTCTTTGTCACTCTTCATGTCTTCATTGCAGGGTTAACCAACCACGCCCCGGCTGAGCACGCACCCTGCGAGAAAAAAAATAATGACTTTTCATATTGGTTGTCATTGTAGTAATAATTTAAATACCCCAACATTTTTAACAACTTCAGCCACGATGAAAGTAAGGACAATTCACCAACATTTTTTCGATGGGCCCAATTAAGCTTTCCACAGACTATTCCAGCGATGACATTTCCTCCCACTGCGGTTTGTGTTTGCAAACAAAAAACAATCAACGACAACGAAATTTGGCATACCCTGGTTAAAAAAATATAATCAAGAAATAAATAAATCGACAAATAAACGACAATTCGCAACAGCTTTTAATGCTTAAACGAATATACTCAAGTTTCAATATAACCAAATCGAATCATTGTCGAACATTTCACGAAGACAAGTCGCATTTTACAAGCTGAGCTAAAATGCCTGTTATCATTGTTAAATGTAGTTATGCATTTGGACAAAATTGACAATTTCTGGTAGTATCCCATACATTCAGTTTCGCAAAGGCATACTTTTTAGCCTTGAAATGGGCATAAGAAGGGTTGAATAGCATTTAGCTCCACTAGTACACTTGAAAGTAACCAGTGCCATCATTTTATAGTACACTCCAATGGTAATGCAATATATGAAACTGTATCAAACCGAGAGCAGATGAGATTTGAAGGTTTGCATGGTAAAGGGTAATAATAATGTGGGGAATTAGCGAAAATCATTGAGGCGCTCCATACTAATTTGGTTATTCTATGCGCTCCATACTTCTTCAGCCCCACGAAATGTATACATTTGCCACAAAATGTATACATTCGGGACGCGCACGGAAAAGAAACCAGGTACCACGTTGGCGAGTTCAACTAACAGCAGACCGTAATGTAGGCCTTTTCTCATTGTCGGGCTACAAGCCCGTAGGAAGCTAACATTTATTGGTCAGGCTCATCTCAGGGCAGGGAGCTCAGTTGATGCGAGCGCGTAGCGCGAAGCCCTAACGGCGTGGGGTTCTTTTTTTTTTTTTTATTCCAGACGCTCTGTGGTGCGATCTGAGGCAATTTCTGACCACTTTAACCTTTTTTTGAGCTATCATCATTTAAACATCATTTTAAAGTTTGGAGTCAATTATCTTTTTATATATATTTTTTTGCGTGAGAAATCCCATGTCGGCGTTAAAGCATGAGAATAACCTGAAATGTGTGAGTCTTACGCTCAATGTGTTAGAGTTGGCAGGCCTGCTGAGGCAGATACAGGATTTGACCCAATCCCTCCCAAATGTAACCAAAAGCCACCCCCCCCCAACACTATGCATGTATACAGGGAATTTTATTCTTCGTAATTTGTACAAGACACATTTTGGAGCACTGCACATCTGCAAGTTTAACCAGTATATGTCACTTGATGAACTTTACATAAATCGTCAAAATTAATTCGTCAAAATTTAGCCTATCGTAGTGAAAAGTTTTGGACATTTGCTCATCGCAAAACTTTTTTTGGATCTAGATGCTCTGTAGTGCAATCTAAGGCATTTCCTGGCCACTTTCCCCTGACTTTTTGAATAAAATGTATTCGTGTTTTAGTTGGTGGGTCATCAAAGATGATAAATAACATCACAAGCATCACATCAAAACTGTAGCTTGACTCTCTTTCTAGATTTGTGCTCTTTAGCTTGATCCATGATTGTGTTTACAGGGAAAGGGCGCAATCATACATGTCGCCATGCACTACACGTTAAGTTAAATGAAATTTAACCATGAATTTTAGTTTTCCTCAGACTTGTACTAGTGTTTTCTTAAAAAGAAGTGGTTTTCTAGCTGAGAAAATAGCAAGGAAGAACCGGTATTGTGCAAGCAAAATTCAGGGAATAATCCGTTGATACTAATATCTTGTTGGAAAATTCCAAAATCATTTCAAGAAAGTTGCCGCCGTGAATCAGAGTTTATGAAGGGACGGAAAGTGGGATTTGCTATCAGCATCAACAGGGCCGTTCCTCATTATTTACCTTTTATGGGATGTGAATCAAATTGGAGGACGAGAGGCTCTGCGGGCTGATGTATTTTTTAGAAATTTAATTCACCGGTATGGATACCAGTGTACGTACATGATTGAACTGCCGAGCGTATTTGTTAAGTTTTTTTTTTCTAAAAAAAAATACATCAGCTCGCAGAGTCTCTCATCCTCCAATTGATTCACATCCCATCAGGTAAAGAATGACGAACGGTCTTGTTGATAGCAAATCCCACTTTCCGTCCCTTCATAAACTCTGACTCACAGCGGTAATTACTTTCTTTGGATAATTTTGGAATTTTCCAACAAGATATTAACTTCAACGGATTATTCCCTGAATTTTGCTTGCACAAAACCGGTTCTTCCTTGCTATTTTCTCATTTAGAAAACCACTTCTTTTTAAGAAAACACAAGTACTAGTCTGAGGACAACTAAAATTCATGGTGGCTGCCAATCGCCATTCCGTTTAACTTAACATGTAGGCCTAGTGGCGACATGTATGATTACGCCCCCTTTCCCTTTAAACACAAACACAAACACAAAACAAAACACAAAAACAACACAAGAAAAATTTTGGGGGAGGGCAACGGGGGACATCCCCCCCCCCCCCAAAAAAATGGAACCCTTTTTTTTGTTCAGTGTCGTCGCAATAGAGGCAGGTACTGCATACACCACCTTTTCCTTTAAAAAAAAAATGGTTAAAGTGGTCAGAAATTGCCTCAGATCGCACCACAGAGCATCTAGAAACCAAAAAAAACACCAAATCCACCCTTGGGGCCATGCAAGGCCTTGTATACATTAAAAAAAAGATATGCCTGTTATTATTGGTACGGCCATAGCCGTACCTGCCGTACCGCTTCCTACGGCCTTGTCGGGCTACATCATTGCACGTTTTCAAGCATTTTGATGAGCCTAGATCACTGGTTTTGAACTGAGCTGTGCTGTAATCCAATCAAGACATATCCTTTTTTGAACCTGATACTTGGGTACGTATCTGTACTACATTATTTTAGAAATCTAATTATTAAAATGGAAACTTTAATTAATACAAAATTGTGTAATATGCCCAAGCTCGTTAAGTTGTTTACTAATTGTAATTTCAGGATTCTTAATTTTACTGCATCGTCACTGAGCCTTAAACACATTTTTGTGAGGGCCCTGCAGTGCAAAATAAAGAAAGAAGAGATTCTGAAGTGTGTTGTCATCCGTGTTTTAATAAACCGGGGAGGCCCGCCGACGAGGCGACCCTAGATATGTGGCTTCACCGCTACAATAAGCCAAGTTGTTGCGGTAGCAACGTGTGGTAAAAATTTGTGTGAGTATGTGTGGTTCCCCCGTTCATTTTCAGAACCACACAAACTCACAAAATAGATTTTGCCACATGGTGCTACCACAACAACTTTACCGAGAGTGCCTGTGTAGGTTTTGAGATTATTGTCCGTAACTGTCAAAATCGCAAGAGGGCACCATATCAATGTGGGTAGAATAAAAACAGCAGCGTTATTTCCAACTAACAAGCCAGGCGGTGCTCTGTGAAGTAAAAGAGCCAAGACGGAGAGTTTATTATTGTTCATCTTTGCGTTCAATGTGTGGTTGGGTATAATGCCAAGTGCCAATGCAATCATTATAGGGGCCTAATTTACATTATCAATTGTGTCAACAACCGTTGAAGGCAAGTGGTTTGGTTGGTAAAGAACTGTGGCAATATCGCAGTGATCTGAAGACTTTGTCACCAGACGGCGTGATACACCCAACAGATTTTGAACTTTAACACCAAAATTGAATCTTACAATAATTGCATTCATTTATATTCTGGAAGATATTTTTTTAAAGCCGAGGCTAGTTTAAAGAAACCAACAAGTCCAATACTCCAAGATTTAAACAATAGTAACACATATGAATACAATACAAAAGCTTCTTTTTATTGTCGGATTGAGTGACATTGCTGGTCGTTTCGTGTCAGGCGTTGAGGGGTACCGTACCAAAGGTAACAAAACTGCTACACACAAACACACCGCATGATCTATAGGACTTTGAACCTCTCGACATGCATTGTGCTACACAAATAGGTGTTGGTTTTTCCCGACATTGCGAAATTGGAGTAGTAATACACAGTGAGTAAGAATCCATTCCACTCATTATTCAGATGTCTGCATTCCCTCACAGCGATAGTTCTCTTCTTCAATTGTTACCCTTTGCAAGAAATTGAAAGTTCATATACAAGGTAAGTGTCATAGTATATAGACAAGTACAATATGTGGGTATAAATTTCAACCCTACACGTTCATAATGTAAATGCGATTGCTTACATGCCTGGTGAATTCAACAGCTGTACTGGCTAAGGCCAAAACAAAAAGTCTCCGGTTTCTGGTATGCGCGCGCGTCGCCGTAGCCATGCGCGTCGGCAAAATGAAAAAAAAAATGATGTCCAAAACCGCCAAATTCACTGGTTTGACTGGATTCCTGCTGCTGCACAATTTTAACGTGTTTTTAGATGGGGTTATGATCGAGAATATTAAGCTTTATGTGGCTTCTCTGGACTCCCATGTATTTGCACTAAGTCTAGTCGGGCACCATTTGCAGTCATCAGCCGACATTTGAGGCAAAAAAAAATCAGGTAAAAAAAAAAAAGCCGCGTCGCCGCACCACTTTTTGGGCAAGCTCCACCCAGAACCCGGAGATATATATTTTTTGGCCTAATACAACTAGCTCAAACATAGGGGCAGAGATTGAATGAACCTAGGTTAACTACAATACAGACTTATTTGCTTGTGTGCATTGGCGATCAACTGGGTTGTCTGTAGTAGATACTGAAGGATGAACTTTACAAGTTTTTTTTTCATTCTCGCACATATCACTGCGCAAACATAATAGTTTGATTGCAAAGAGTAAATGGGAAAGATTGATATCGGTGTATGCTGAAACAATCGGTTTCTATAAATGCGTATAATGACGGACGTTATTTGTCAGTAAGTAACATTGAAACTAGATATGCAAACATTGTATTCGTTTCGAATACGCGGGCCTAATGAAGAACCTTATTGCATCCCACCCCTGGACTTCAGTAGCCCCAAACACCCCGTTGAGAAACACACAAAAACAGACGTGCACAATTGCAACGGCGTATATTACTTTATTTGCCACAAAATCACGGCAGCGCAACTTAGTACAAGGTTTGTGACAAATTGCTAGTTTCTCAGATTTTCTATCGTTTTTTTGTTGCAACCAATATGCATCGGAATTGTTACGATACGTTATCACACTATGGTGCTGGGTATGTCTTTTCACTGTTTTTGTCATAGATGGCGGAAGCTGCAGCCAAATCCGTGCTGGGTACAATCAGTCGGGGACACCTCGAATGCCCGATTTGTTGCTGTCGTTTCACCGATCCCAAGCTGCTGGACTGTCTGCACAGCTGCTGCCTGAACTGTCTAGACGAGCTCATCAGCAGACAGCAACCCAAGGCGGGCGAGATTACGTGCCCATTCTGCAGGCGGGTAACTGCGGTACCAGACACCGGATTGCAGGGTCTTCCCAACTGCTTTTTCCTGAGTTCCCTTGTCGATGAATTCAACAAGCAGGAGCGGTTGCTGGGCGACGCACCAGCGGATACTCGTTCATGTGAGGAATGCGACGAGGGCTTGGAAGCCGTCTCAAGGTGCTTAGACTGTGATGGGAACATCTGTCAGAAATGTTTGGATGTCCATCGGAAACTGAAATCTACTAAGAAACATCGGATCGTAAACTTCGATCAAAGTAGATCACAGGTACCTCTGGCGGATCTTCGGAAGAAAGATTGGCTGCAATGTCACAAACACACTAATCAGGAACTCTGTTTTTACTGCGAGACATGCGAGACCTTGGCCTGTGCGAAATGTGCTGCGTTAGATCATCGGACAGCGGAGCATGAATACAGAGAAGTCCCAGATGCCATAAGATCGTACCGTCAGGATGTCAGTGAGAGTCTGCGAAAGTTTGAACAGAGCAGAGAGGAATTCAAAGTCGCCGATGATTCCTTGCAACATGCAAGGAACAGGCTGAGAATCATGGTCGCCCGGGCTTGTAAAGACATCACCGCCAAAGAGAGAGAAGAGATTGCAAAGATCAGAAATAAGTCTCGCCTGCTCAGAGACGAAGTAAAACACATTGGAAAAGAACGAGATAGGAAGTTTGAGGAAGTCCAGAAAAACAACCGTGACAAGGTGGAGCGGGCCGAGCAAATCGTAGCGACAGTCAACGATTTGATGCAACAAGCTGACGACTTTGAGCTTTTGGATCTCAAACCGAAAGTGATGCATAACTTGGAGTTCAAGGAGGAACTTAAATTGGAACAGGCGCAGCATGAGCTGTCATTCATTGGGATCAAATGTCAAGATGTCGTTGCAAATACAAGCCTTGGCGAAGTGCTTCTGGAAGAAAAATGGCAGTTGAAGGAAGTGTTGGATGAGGACTCTGGTGACGGCCAATATAAAAGCGCTGAAGGCGTTGCTTGTCTAAGCAATGATGATTTGGCCATAACAGACACAGGCAAACAACAGTTAAAAATTGTAAATTCGGCTGGAGGTAAAACACCTGTTGGTTGGGATATCCTGAATGACCCCTGCGGAGTTGTTGTTTCTGGTGATGATGTATTACTTGTCACCGATAAGATGCATGTCAAGGTGTTTGACTCAAGTCTAGAATTCATTCGCCAGTTCACACCATCACATAATGACACAGGACAGGACTCAGAGAGTTGTCTCACAGGTATCGCTGTGGACGAGAAGAATCGGATAGCAGTGGCAGACAGCGGCAGAAAGCTCATATCTCTCCACATGCTGGATGGATCCCTGATGAAAACCATTCCACATGAAATGGTTGGTTACGGTTTGGCCGTTGGCATTAAAGAACGCTTGATCTTCACAAACTACTCAAATGAGAGATTGATTTGCATAACCTATACAGGAGAAGGGGTGTTCAGTGTTAGTACTTCATGTGTCAAGCAACATGGCAGACCCTCTGGCGTGTGCTGCGATGATGCAGGTGATATCTATGTCTCCGTTGATTCCGAAGAATTTGAAGGCGGTGAAGTGCACCATTATACACCTGAAGGTGTTTTCATCGGGCGGGTGGCTCGCGGACTTCACTCTCCCTGCGGCCTGACATTCACGCCAAGCGGAGACCTCGTGGTGGCTGACGAGGTGTCAGTCAAGATCTTCCAGCGGATGTAGTCGTTTTGTGATTTCACAACCAGATGTGAAACTAATTCTAATAAGCTGAGTGTGTCGATACTGCTGACATTTGCGTAAGAGAAACTATCTGACAATGAGACGTACAACGCGTTTATCGTTGCGCTTGGTCGCGGGTTTCGTAATATCTGTTGAAGAAGTACAGTCAGTAATATCCAAACGTCCTAATGGAAAGACTTCAGTTTGTTTTTTCCTATGCATTTTATGGTTTTGCTTGATGAATCAAGGCAAAGGAGGACTGTGTCTATGGAATGGGGATAACTTTCGAGACATATGTCTCACTTGTAATATGTTCCATCGTATGATACCAAACCGGCGTCAATAACCTCACTCAGGCGTCAAGGGCGGATCCAGAACACACTATTTGGGGGGCCAAAAAAAATGTGGTCACCCAAAACTTGGTTACAAAAAATTACCGCGTGGGGTTCGGGTCCCGCTTAAGGGCCCGAAAAAGGTTTTGGATTTCTAGATGCTCCCAAACACACGGTGAATTAACATTATTGCAACTTTATACGAAAGACGTAGGAAATAAACTGGATACAAGTCTCAACTCTTTCTGTTACAATATTAATGTCCTAGACTTCTATTAAAAGATCCTACTCTGACTGTCGTCTGTCTGTCGTCTGATAATTATTTGTTTTCTTTTGCTTTTGCTTGTAACAACATTATCTCTAGGAAAACATTCCAAAACGTAATGCTATTACGCAAAAGATAACGTTGATGATGACAAAATTGCCAAAATGTTTCACCAAGGATTTCCACGCCCATTTGGGGTTAACATGCAAATTGAGGTCAAAGTAAACACACGTCAATTGAGGGCGCATGGATCATTCCTGTCAGATTCCATCAGGTTTTCGCTCATTCCGGTGTTCAGTTAAGCAAAGGTAGGATCTCTGTAGCTGATGTGCTTGAGAGGAAAATAAAAAATTCGGATACTTGGGGAAATTTATCGGGAATAATGAATAATTCGGATATTTATGGGGATTTCTTGGAACAACACGATGAACAAAATGTCTGTCTTAGTGTCTGGTCAGATGATTGTTCGAAGTCGCCCCTGGTCGATTTGCCCCAGATTTTTCTTATACCTCTTTTTATTATTATTATTATTGTTATTATTATTTAAAGGAGGCGGGGACTTTACGACCCAACCCAGCTAGCTGGTGCCCGCGCGAGGCGCAGCATTCCGCTAGTATATGAATAATTCATGACATAGACTCCTACGCAAGTCTACCCCTGTTTCACCACAATATATTACAATCCCAGATATTCATGATGGAATTTACGTGGCGGTGATGTAAATTCAATATTAATGGACTAACCAAAGTGGAATTTTACACTTTGGACTGGTTTTTTTTTTGGTTTTTTTGTTGTTTTTTTTGGTAACAGCAGGCAACCATGTCAGATCAATCAGTCAAAGGGTGGAGAAGAAAATGTAGGTGGATGCCACCCTTATTTTTACCCAAATTGCCAAAATTTTGATAAGTTGTTAATCCCTACCGTGTAATATATTTAATCCCATACTCGGGTATATTCTTTATTAATTTCTATTTTTAAGTTTATTTTGTTTTTTTCTACGTACACACTTTTACTTAAATAACATTTGTCTGAAGCATATAAGTGACTGAATTATGAGGACATAGTAACGATCCAAAATGGCTACTATTGTACCCAATAGGGTAACTGTGCCAGTAAGCAACTTCGTGAATTGGAAGCTCATCAATACTGAGGTTTTGGCAAGACTACTTGAAGATATCTGGAGACAAGGTAAATGCGCGCAACAATGGGGTATGATAGTAGCCATTTTGGATCGTTACTATGTCCTCATAATTAATGTTTGCTTTAATGTTTTAATCTTTCTTTATTCTTGTGTGTAGCTTTTTATCCGTGTAAATTGAAGTTGGTGTATCTTTTTTCTGATTTGATTTTTTAATGATTAACATTTCATTGGTCTTTGCATTGTCTTAATTATATAATTTCTTATTCATGATTTTCCATATAGTGATTTTGGCACTTGTTAGTGTATTTTAAGAATTTTTATGGAAAACGCATTTGAAAATATTTTTATAGAATTTGCGCTAAATAAATTAATAAATTATAATTATTGTTATTCACCAAGTACACCCAAATATTGTGGAAAATATCATATGGCAGGTATTAACGATTTATGCAAATTATGTATATTGAGGGTCAAATTAACGAGGGCATCCACCCATATCTCGTTTGTTATGGTTGAAGAATTGATCTAGCGTGGATGCCAGCTATTACCAAAAAGCTAAACTATAATAATGATATCAACAATTAAGCATTCAAGTTGTTTGTATGTCAAACAATTGTTACAATTATGGTAGTGATCAGGAAACTTCGTCCCCACGCAGCGTGAAATACAATCTATCGATACTTAACTTTACCAGAAAAAAAAACATTATTTTGCAACTGTTGCATTTTTTTTCATATCTAGGAAGACATATTCATAAAGATGAGGCTAGGGTATAGGAAACCTGTGAAATGAATCTAATACTTGTGCCAATTATTTGACCAACTCGTCTCCGTAAATTTACATTGGCATCATTGTTATATAGTCGTGTTAAACCAGACATTGAGAGGTAGGAAACGGCATTACTAGACAGGAGTACACACTGCATGATCGATTTGACCTTGGACCTATATCGATTTGCTTTGTGCCACGAAAATAGCATCTGGTTTTCCCATGCAGTCATTGTTTTCCAGAAAATGCACGATTGGAGTAGTAAACTACACAAAATATAACTACGGATCCATTCCACTCATCATACGGATGTCTACGTCCGCACACACACACAGTCTTCAATTCTCACCGGTTTTTATAGCGTTTTTGACCGTGACATAAACCTCAAATGGGCCGGTAAACTTGATCTAGTGGTTACGCAAGTTCATGAGGTAGGTGTCATAGCTGAGATGGAAATGAAATTGATCAATTGTTAACGTTTTCACCCATAATTGTTCATAATGTGCATTAAACTGAAAACAGGAATGGTGATGAAGTCATTGAATGTGGTACATGCCAATACGATGACGAATAACCGAACAAAGTTATCGGAACTACAAACTAATCATACTCTAGGTATTAGGATGCAAGGTGTGCTGCTTTAGACAGAAACTGAGTGAAATAAATTCAAAGCCTTAATATTCTCTCAGTTCATTTAGCAATCTCAATTCTGTTTAAATCAAATGGTGAATGTGGTTATAACAGAATGTCGTTAAAACAGTTGGATTCTATGTAGGCCTACGAGTAGTACGAGTTGGTGCTCCGATGACATGAAATAACTGCTGAAATAATGACATACAAAGCACTGAAATTTGCAGAAGTGAACCCTTCACCCCCCCCCAGATAAACAAAGAATTAAATATTAAGATATGCCTTCATTTCTCCCTGATTTGAAATCCCTATTACATCAATGCCATTGGGAAATCCGTTTGTGACCTACTGCAAGATGTGATCTACTGAAAGACAATGTTTTCTCGGATTCTCAATCCATATTCAAACAACGTGCATCAGAATGCATGGGAACCATAAGTCATCCAACTTTGGGTATCGGAAGCAATAACTTATGTATGCAACCATGTATGGTCATATGTGCATGCGTCAGTTGGGCTACAAAATGGTTCTCGAACTTTAGGCCCCCCAAAAAGTCTCCGGTTTTTGGTATGGAGCTTGCCCAAAAAAAAGTGGTGCGGCGACGCGGCTTTTTTTTTTTTACCTGTTTTTTTTTTGCTTCAAATGTCGGCTGATGACTGCAAATGGTGCAGATGAACTTAAAGCAAATAAATGGGAGTCCAGAGAGGCCACATAAAGCTTATTCCCGTTAAAATTGTGCAGCAGCAGGATTTCAGTCAAACCAATGAGTTTGGCGGTTTGAGACATCATCTTTTATTTAAAAAAAAAAAACATTTTCATTTTGCCGACGCGCATGGCTACGGCAACGCGCGCGCATACCAGAAACCGGAGAATTTTTGTTTTGGACTTTACTTCTCTTTTTTTTTAAACTCCGGAGCTTTAAATGAGAAGAAAAGGCTGAATTTTATTTTATCATTCATCAGAACTTGATTCAAAACAATTTGGGGTAGAATATTCGCTTTGGGGGAAAATTTGTTGTTTACGTGATAATTATGTTTCACGCATACGTATTACAGTCAATGACTTAACCGAGATGCAAACAAAATATTTGCACACCAGAATGTCTTTTCACTCTTTTTGGTTGTAGAAAGATGGCGGAAGCTGCAGCCCAATCTGTGCTTGGTACAATCAGTCGGGGACACCTCGAATGCCCGATTTGTTGCTGTCGTTTCGCCGATCCCAAGATGCTGGACTGTCTGCACAACTTTTGCCTAAACTGTCTACTCGAGCTCATCAGCAGACAGCAACCCAATGCAGACGAGATTACTTGCCCAGTTTGCAGATGGGTAACTGCGGTACCAGACACCGGATTGCAGGGTCTACCAAACTGCTTTTTCCTGAGTTCCCTCGTCGATGAATTCAACAAGCAGGAGCGGTTGCTAGAAGACGCGAGAGCGGATACTCGTTCATGTGAGGAATGCGACGAGGGCTTAGAAGCCGTCTCAAGGTGCTTAGACTGTGATGGGAACATCTGTCAGAAATGTTTGGATGCCCATCGGAAAATGAAATCTACTAAGAAACATCGGATCGTAAACTTCGATCCAAGTAGATCACAGGATTTTCGGAAGAAAGATTTTCGGAAGGAAGATTGGAAGCAATGTCACAAGCATACTAATCAGGAACTCTGTTTTTACTGCGAGACATGCAAAACCCTAGCGTGTGTAAAGTGTGCTGCGTTAGATCATCGAGGAGCAGAGCATGAATACAGAGAAGTTGCCGATGCCATACGATCGTACCGTCTGGATGTCGAACAGATTCTGCAAAGGTTCAGACGGAGCGAAGTGGTTTTCAAAGTCACCGACGAATCACTGACGCATGCCAGAAACCGGGTCAGAATCATGGTCGCCCGGGCTTGTAAAGACATCACCGCCAAAGAAGAAGAGATTGCCAAGATCAGAGACAAATCTCGCCTTCTCAGAGACAAAGTATCACAAATCGGAGCAGAACGAGATAGGAAATTCGAGGAAGACCAGAAAAGCAACCGTGACAAAATGGAGCGGGCTGAGCAAATCGTAGCGGCAGTCAACAACTTGATTCAGCAAGCTGACGACTTCGAGCTTCTGGACCTCAAACCGAAGGTGATGCACAACTTGAAGTTCCACAAGAAACTCAAATTGAGGAAGGCACAGCATGAGCTCTCATTCATCGGGGTCAAATGTCAAGATGTCGTTACAGATACACACCTCGGTGAAGTACTTCAGGAAAAAAAGTGGGAGATGAGGGAAGAGATCTTCAATGTTGGGCAGGAAGAATTTGAGACTGTTACAGGCATCGCCTGTTTAAGCAATGGTGACATTGTCGTAGTTGACAATGATAAGAAGCAGTTGATGAATTGTACTTCCACTGGGAAGTATGAAGGAAGTGTTGGTCGGGAGAAGTTGAATGACCCATGGGGAGTAGCGGCGACCTCCGATGACCTACTTCTGGTCACTGATAAGGACTATGTTAAGGTGTTTGACTGTAGTCTAGAATTCATTCACCAGTTTGCATCATCAAAGGATGCGGAAAACGTTGATTCAAAGTGTCGTCTTGACGACATCGCTGTGGACAAGAATAATCGGATAGCAGTTGCAGACAGAGGGCGAAAGCTGATATCTCTCCACCATATGGATGGGTCCTTGATTACAACCATACCACATGGGGACATGGTCGGTGGCTATTTGGCCATCGGGATCAAGGAACGTTTGATCTTCACCAACTACCTTAAGAACCAGTTGATTTGCACTACCTACACGGGAGATGAGGTGTTCAATGTCGACACTTCAATTGGCGAAATACCTGTAATTATAAGACCATCTGGTGTGTGCTGCGATGATGCTGGGGACATCTATGTTTCCGTTGACCTCAATAAAGGTGAAAGCGTTGAAGTGCACCATTATTCACCCGAGGGAGTCTTCATTGGGTGTGTGGCTCGCGGAATTTGGTATCCCGGTGGCTTGGCATTCATGCAAAGCAGAGACCTTGTGGTGGCTGATTGTGTGACTGTCAAAATCTTTCATCGGGTGTGAGCCGAATATAGTCCGTACTGATTGACATTAGCCGACAACACACACGGACTTTGCTTCATTTTGACTTTATGTTCGTAGTAATCAGCGATCTAGTATTAACTATTTAATGATTTGCTGAGTACTGTTGGGCTCGAGATAATCGACGCTGATGAACACTAAAACTACGAAACGTCTTTTGCACACAAGTGTTAGAGTTTTATGATCTCTGGAAAGCCCCAATAAACACACTCGGGTTTGTTTTTGGTGTAATCAGAGATTGTTTGTTGCTCCTCATCATCGATCTTGTGTTTATAAGTTTTTTGCAAAGCTCCCATTGGTTTTGTACAGGTTTTCTAATCGAGGTCGTCCTCGATTTGACTCTTGTCCTCAATTACTTGACATGCTTCACATGTGCGTCCTCGATTTACACCATATATCATGCACACACACGCACATGAACACACTCATGTCCATACCTAGTGTGGAAATTTTCTTTGTTTTCGTGTAGTTAAGAAAAACCTGTGAGAAGAATCATTTTACTCACACTGTAAAAACTCTTTGAACCCACGTTTTGTACTATGATTCCCTTGAGTGTTTCTCTTCATTTTGCCACGGATATACGTAACCCAAAAATGCCTCTTAACCTGTTTTCCAGAGAAGGGGAAACATTGTGTGGACGTGGGCAAGTGCACACAACGTATATGAAAACCGGTTGATGTGGACATCTTTTGTTCGGAAGTCCAAACAGTAAATGTAATACTTTTCCACACATTACATACCTATTGTGGACTTTCTTTTGTATTCGTGTAGTTAAGAAAAACAGAGTAAAAGCTCATCTTACTTGCACTGTTTTTTTTCATGATTTCCTTGAGTGTTCCTCTTCAATTTGCGACTAATAAACCAAACCCAAAAATGCATCTAAACCTAATTTATTAGAAAGGGGAAACCTCGTGTGAACGTGTGCAATTCCACAAATCGTTCACGCTCCGTGCAACTTTTGTTTACAGGTCCGCAGGAGTAGGCCTATGTACGGTTACTCGGTTAGAGCACAAGTGTACCTACCTGCAATCGTGGACCCCTATTGTCCCTCTTTTCTTTGTACTTAAACGTTTTAGGATGAAATCCCATATGTTTTGTTCACGATTGTCATTGGGGACCTTCGGAAATTGTGGACCCTATTGTCTTCTATTGTTTAGCGCCCCCTATACAAACATATAAAAGCTCTTAAAATACCAGATCATGATCCATGTTTTATGTATCCTTGACGTAGGGGATAATCCTATGGCATATTATTTTCTGTACTTTATGAGCGTTTACTGTACAAAAAAAAAAAATAATAAAATAAACAGAGCAATCTTAACATCAGATTAAGGCTTTTCGTTGAAGCAGAGCGCAGTCAGTAATAGCACAAATTTCTAAAGGAAATATCTCAGTTTGCTATTTGCTCTACATTGAATGTTTATGCTTTCTAAAACAGTATTCATCAAGGTAGAAGTAGATGGTTCGCGTGCAATTTGGGATAACTTCTGAGCCATAGCTCTCACATGAAAATAATTTCAAAGATAATGAATCGCAATTACATGGCGTCAACAACCTCAAACTCCTACCTAATCAGAGAGGTTTTCGTGAGCTCAAAAGCGGTCCATCCTCACCCAACGTCAGGCACTAAGACGTATGATTGGGCAGGCTAAGAGCAACTAGAATTGACTCTTTGTCTACTCCAAGAAAGTCATATATAGATACAATACGAGTTCTGAGATCATTGGAATATATGAACACTATTCTTAGAGAAAACATGTAATATTAATAGTCAATGCAATTCCCATTCGTGTGCATCATTGTCCTCTTATCTGCTATGCCATTTTGAGCAACTTCCATACAAAAAAGTAAAACAATAATAAACGGAATTATTTCTTTTCGGGGAAAAAAATTCTTTATTGTCAGAGCTTAATGATGTTTATTTTAATATATTTTTTATTTGGTGATATAATTATCATGGGTTTTTCCATAAGGGTCATTTTATTTTGGGGTTGATTTTTCATTTTCATTAAAATTCTTTCCACTTCGGTACAAATATTTTTGAGTCCTTGAACGTCAATTTAATGATTATTTTGCAGAGTAACCACAAGACGAACTTTTTACCAACTTTGAAGGAATAACGTTTTGTTCTTATAGTTCATACTTTCAGTTCATACAGACATTAATGTTGGCCCCAACATGAGCATGGAAAGGGTCGTATGAAGATAACGACTCATGATGGCACTGAGCTCCTGACTTTATTCCAATTAGAATAGATCAATTTCACGGTCTTAGCACAAGTGAATGATGATGCATAACTAAACCCGTAGGATTCTAAACGATGCGTAAGAGGGAGATCACAATCGCAAAAGGGCGCAATATCAAAATGGGGAGAGAAAAGTGGCATCGTTTACTCCTACATAATTATTACAAGAGCCGGGTCGATTCAACTTATTCATCGTTGTTCAGCTTTGCGTGTAGTGCAAATTGTAGTTTGTATTTTAACAAGTGCCCATGCAAGATAAGTCAACTATAAATCATGTCAACAAGCGTTCAAGTGGTTCTGATGTCAAAGAACTGTTACGATATCGTTGTGATCGGGGGACTTCGTTCCCACACGGGACGTGATACACCCAACCGACATTTGACTTTACCACAAAAATTGAATTTGTAGCTGTTGCATTATTCCTTACCTTATTTTTAAAACTGACTGTAGGTCTAAGAAACCAACAAAATGAATCAAAAACTTTAAGAATAAAAGAAAATGCAAGCATTTGATTAAAATACAGAAGCTTCTTTGTATTGACAGTTGACATCATTGCTAGTGTTATACACCAGGTGTTGCAAGGTAGCAATGTAAATGCAATTACTAGGCACGAGTGCACGGACGGGATGACTGATTCGACTTTGGACCTCTCAATTTGCATTGTGCCACGAAAATAGCTACTCTTGTCCTCGATGATGATCGTCTATTTATTGCAGGGTTTACCAACACCCCGGCTGATTGCAGGTTTCACTATGAGCAATGTCAACAGACAACTCTCTGAGCACCCCACGAGGAAAAAATAATAGTGAATTTTCGAATCGGTTGTCAAAGTATTAATAAATTAACCCAAAGAATTTTTAACAAATTCAGCCACGATGAAGGACAATTTACAATTATTTTGTTGATGGACCCAAGCGTTCTACAGGCATTTCCAGAGATTGCATTTCCTCCCCCTGCAGGTTGTGTTAACAAAAACAAAATCAATGACAATCACCTAATAATGGTTTAAAGAATGGACTCAAATTTCAATGTTACGAAGTCAAAATTTCAGTAAAGTTGACGAAGGCGTTACTGATAGGAAATGTTTTGGTTTTTTTTAAGCTCACCTATTAAAGCCAAAGTAAGCCTGTAAAATATTTCTCCACGAGTTGTTTTTTTTTCTTCTAAATGACCTAAAATGCTGGTTGTTGCTGTCAAATTTGGACATGTATTTGGACAAAATATACACTTGTTGTGGTATTCATACAATCACTTTCACGCCTTGAAAAGTACATGGGAAAAGTCATATAGCACTTAGATCCAGACTTTAGTGCACTTGAAATAAACCAGTGTCATTGTTTAACGTACACTTAAATGGTAATGCAATAAACAAAACTATATAAAACCACGAGCACCAGCGTAGGTTTTGAGATTGTCTGTAACTGTCACCATCGTGAGAGAGCGCAATGTCAAAATGGGTAAAACAAAAAAGGACAGCAGCGTCATTTGCAAATCACAAGCCAGGCAGTGCTCTGTGAAGTAAACGAGCCTAGAAGTAGAGTTCATCATTGTTCACCTCTGCGTTCAATGTGTAGTGGGGTACAACGCCATGTGCCCATGCAATTATTATAGGGGCCTAAGCTACATTATCAATTGTGTCAACAAGCATTGAAGTCAAGTGGTTTGGTTGGTAAAGAACTGTTCCAATATTACAGTGACCTGGAGACTTTGTCCCCAAACGGCGAGATACACCCAACGCATTTTGAACACCAAAACTGAATCTGGCAGCAGTTGCATTAAGTCATATTCAGGAAAAAAAATTATGAGAGGCTAGACAAAAGAAAGTCCAATACTTCAAGATTGAAACAACAGTAAAACATTGGACTGAGGTGCAATAGCTACTTATTATTGTCAGGTTGACAGCATTGATTATCTTTCATACCGGACGTTGAGAGGTAGCTAAGGCTACACAGCTACTAGACGACGCACGATAAAATGACTTTTAACCTATATCGATATGCAGTGGGCTACAAAAATAGATTTTGGTTTTTCCCGACATTGCGAAATCGGAGTAGTATATTACATAGTGAATACGAATTCATAACAGTCATCATCCGGATGTATTCCCTCACAGCGATAGTTCTCTTCTTCAATTGTTACCATTACAAGAAGTTTCATGAGAGAGAACCACACATGGTGGAGATCTTGAACTAGTGTTTTCGCAAGTTCAGACAAGGTGGGTGTCATGGTATATAAAAAAAAATACATGTCGAATTTGTAAGTTTAAATTTCAACCATTTTATATGTTTATAAAGTAAATGCGATTGCTTACGTTACTGGTGATAAAGTTGTCAATTGCATTTTAAATACATTATGTTTACAGAAAAAGGAACTGTTTTCAATACAACAAGCTGCATCTTTAGAAACATACACTCAACCCAAAAAGAAAGTCCCCCCCCCCCTTAATACTTCCTTTATGTCTTACTCAAAAACTACTGAGCCCATCTTGCTCAAATTACAAATGATCGGTACAAACATTCCTTGGAAATCCAGTATACTCTATGTTTGGCCCAAAACAGTGATAATGTGTAAAAAAAAAAAAAAAAAAATATGCAATTTATGACAAAGGGCACCGAAAAAAGTTGCACTTTTTAAACTTGCAAGGTGAGTGTGAACCACAACTTGCACGTACACAAAAGTGGAACTGTTTTCGGTAGCATTTGTCACGAATTGCATTATTTCGTACATATGATCACTT